CACAAGAGAGGAGCTTGTAACTGAAAGCTCTGCCTCCCACTCTACTTTTAGAAACTCCAGGAACCACAAGTAAACCTGCAGGGTTGTAGAAATTAGGAGAAGCAGGATTGACACAAAGACGTAGCAAAACAAAACTCTTTATTTCTTATTTCTATCTCTACAGGTGGCTGTGGTGCAGTGGTAGGGCAGCTGACTTGGGACCAGAAAGTCCCAGGTTTGACTCCCTGCCGTGCATGTCCTTGAGCCAGACACCTAGTCCCTAAGCTCCCCGGGTGCTGGCATAACTGTCCACTGCTCCACTTGGGTGTATCTCATGTGTGATAAGTCAAATACAGAGCACAGATTTCATCACTGCATGGGAACATGCATTGGTGACAATTTAAAACAGATTTAAAACTAAGATCAAAAACTAAAAACCAGCTGCAGAGAAAAAAATCCAGAACACAAAAACAGTCCTACTTAAAGACCTGAAACACGTAAGAGGGAGCACCACATCACACCTATTCTGGCTTCTCTCCACTGGCTGCCTGTGCATTTTACAGTTTGTTTTAAGGTTTTTAAATCTTTACATGGCCTTGCTCCATCTTACCTCTCTGAGTTTCTCCACCCTATGCKCCTGCACYGTATCTCCGGTCAGCCCATCAGTTGCTCCTTAAAGTACCCAGGACAAATGAACCCTCAGAGGGGATGGAGCATTTTCAYTTGCTGCTTTGAAGCTCTGGAATGAGCTACCTCTACACGTCAGGCAGGCCTCCTCATTGGCTGTTTTTAAAACTAATCTTAAAAATTATTTTTATTCACTGGCTTTTAATACAGTGTGAGACCTTGGTCTGTTTGAGCTATTTTTATTTTTATTTTTTGCTTGTTTTAGTGTTTAAGTTTTCAGTGTTGATTTGTTTTGTTTTTGGCCCGTCATGTACAGCACTTAGTGTCAGCAGCCGCTGTTTTAAAACACTTTATAAATAAAGTTGATTAAAGACCCAGTACTACCTTTACCCTGGTAAAGACCCAGTACTACCTACAAGTTATCGTCCCATTTCCCTTATTAATGTTGATGTTAAAATAATTTGTAAAGCTCTCTCTAAAAGATTAGAGAAGATCATTTCTTTCTTAATTCATCCTGACCAAACCGGTTTCATAATGGGGAAGGCACTCGACTACAAACTCACGTAGATTATATAATTTAATAGACTATTCATAC